AGTTATACTTAAGGATAAGTTATACTAAAGGATAAGTTATACTTAAGGATAAGTTATACTAAAGGATAAGTTATACTTAAGGATAAGTTATACTAAAGGATAAGTTATACTCAAAATTGTTTCATACATCTATGTTGATATGTTTCATTGTATTATAAGTTAATCAGATGAAATTGATTTTGAAGTGTCTTTTTGTTCTTTGCCCTATAAAGTGAAGGCAGTAATTGTTTTTCCAGAATAATTAAATTTCCACAGAGGGATATTGTCAGATAAATGGCACAGAATCTCTTTCTGGATGTCAAATTTCCAGTATTAAATTAACAAATGGCCTAATGATTTTGGCTTTAGAAAAAAAAAAAAAAAACTGAAGAGATGCATGCAAAATAGAATAAGTTCCAGCAAAATGAATATTTTTTTTGACAAGATGCTGAACATCAAATGGAAACACATTTTCATCATTCCAGATGACCTGCTCAAATGCAGAGTCTCCGACAGCAACAGAGAAAAATATTCTGCAAGCTCTCATGTAGTGAAATCAGTGAGGTAACAAAGATTGCATATCAAAAGTTAAGAAACATTTCAAACGATACCCAAGATTTCTTTTGTCATATTTGCAGAATGACCTTATGACCATGTAGCATTCAGCCAAGATAACCTGTTTTTGCTACTTTTAATAGAAGTAATATACATGTTTATACATTTGGTGACACTTTGGTCCTTCTTGTTTTATTTTTGTTTGATTAGAGTTCAGATTTTATCTTTATTGTTGATGGTATATTTTTGATTCGTTTTCTTTCACATATGATAATTATATAAAATATTCTTGTTAAAACTGTAAAATGAATTGGTAACCAAAAGAAACTACGTACATCAAGTCAATATTACAGTTTCCATTGACCTGCTATTTAGTGTGAGGTAGGTAACTTAAATTTTTAACCAATATTGTTGCACTAGTCATACACATAAAGGTTTCCATTGTTACTACTGTGACAAACAGACATGTAAATGATTGTGTAAAGTGTATATAAATATTACATTATATTATTGTGTAAGGTGTATATAAATATAACATTATATTATTGTGTAAAGTGTATATAAATATTACATTATTTTATTGTGTAAGGTGTATATAAATATTACATTATTTTATTGTGTAAGGTGTATATAAATATTACATTATATTATTGTGTAA